TGATAAATGTCTATTTCTCTGCTGTGATAAAACACGAGACTACACGCTATGCTTATCATATAGCTGCAGACACTGCCTTTAAAAGATTAGGAAATTTCTGGGTGATGTCAAACATTGCTGCTGCGCCCCACAATCCAGCCTCTGCTAACCATGATAGTTTAAGCGTGGCTTTTTGATCTGTTCAAGAAACCTAGCGAGTCATCACTGTTTTATGATGCCTCTAATCTTATATTGATTGACTGACCGTATCCTTTGTAAATGATTAGGGCAGTCAAATGTAAGAAATGTATTGAACAAGCGACGCTTTTCGTTATGGATGCCGGTAACATCAGGATTGCACGATGGTTTCCGATATCTCGAGTGAAACACGGCATATAAAGTAAATTTTACTATAATTTTTGTCAAATTAGGTGTGCTAGTAATGTATCAAGCAAATTTTGAATTGAACATTTATCGGTCAAGAATTGAAAAGTGATTTTAAATAAACGTCTATATTGATTACTCTTTATAGTTCTTTTTTAATGGGATGCAGCCATTCGTAGTAACTACGCTAGAGCGTCCGGTTTTGTTGTCTTATTTGGTGTATATTTACGAATAATGGCAATACTTGTTGCTGATCGACTGCCTTTGTTCAGACCAATTCTGCGATGCAGTTCTGCATGCGGTGCACTGCAGGTGCTTAAATATCATTGAGTCGTAGCCTGCTTAAGTTGTCCTCTTCTTTACATTAGTAGAGGCATGGCGCAGTAGATTTTTGCTGTGTATATCCGGTATAAGTAATTGGCATTTAATATTCATCGAGATGATTTGAAAGCTGTTATTTTGCCTAGTACTGTTTTGTTTGCTACTTGAATAGGTCGACATTTTAAGTTGTGAATGAAAATGTTGTTTACATGTATTTTTTAATTTCAGATTTGGCCGTTGGACTTAGTCTTGGTGCCCTCGCTGAGCTTACCAAAAGAAACCTCGGATTAAGTGCGTATTAGACGAAAGTGCAGCGCTTGGTCACTAATCATGTTGTGTGTAGGCGACAACAAAGGGGACGACAGAAATCCATTCTTGAGCGAATCGAATGTCGAACGAATCGTTAACACGCTTTGTCGAGTGCGGGGCGCTGCCCTCAAACTTGGCCAAATGCTTAGCATTCAGGGTATGCTAACTAGAGTGTTGCTTTATATATAGTTGTCCCTCACCATATCGCGGTATTTTGATTAGTAGATATCTAATTTTGTTTCCGGGATTTGCGGTATATAAGTAATTTTTATATATCTATGATTTAATTATTTTGAAAAAATATAAAA